TGTGTGTGTGTGTGTGTGCGTGCTGCATTAGGTCGCTGGCTTCAGCATGATAGCCCGTCAAATGAAACAATGTATTCCGTGGGACCTCAGGGTTTCCATTTGAGTATTCGGACGCGGCGCTGCAACGAACTGTGGCTGTTTTATGTGAAAAAAAAAGTTGATAATTAGTCCCACAGTGACTGAACGATGCGATGTAGGGAGGGGGGGGGGTGTAGCTGTTGAAGGAACAGGAGAGAGCTCTTAGCGCACTTAATACTCCAACCTGACACTGTCTATGAATCATTAATCAATTGTTTATTCTGTTGGTGTCGCTTTTTTATATCCCATTAACTCGTACATCTCCCTACATCTATTGGCCTTTGAATGATTGATGAATATAATCAGTTGATTACATTTACCCAAAATATTTATCTTCATCCTGATTTTTTCCTCCACCTCTTTAGTCGTCCACTGCCTCTTGCAGTCGAGAGTAGGTTTCAAGCTATTGTCATTTGTGTTTATTATTTTTTCTTTTTTAGGAAGCCCTGATTCATTATTTTTTCAAAAGGGACTCTGGTAATAATTAGCAATTAAAATGCTGTCTTTTTGCCTCACTTTCCCCTAATTAGCTTGACAGAGATATTGGGCACTAATTCTCTGTAGTTCCCCCCCCCATCATCCACACACACACACACACGGTCTTAGAAACCATGGCAACACCTCACATTTTTATTTTTATTTTATCTAGGCTCACCTTGTCGTGCTCCTGCAAATTTAACCAAATCAAACTCAAAAGATTTTCCCACATCCCTGACCGGATTATTAACGACATGAGATGATTGTTGTTGACAATGTCTGTAATGTGAAAAAACTCTTGTTCTTTTATTCTATATTGAAATAAAACATGCCCTAAAATGTATATTTGGAAAACTAACTTCTTCTATGTCCTTAACAGATACTGAGCTGTTTCATATTTTAAACTGTATTTCCCATCATAATATAATCAATGTTCTAATTTCTCTTCAGCCTTGAATTACAAGCTCTAGCCCTGTAATACATGTATATATATTCAGTACAGGTCTAAAGACTGTA